ATGGTTAATGTAGTAATTTTTTGTTTCTTTTTTTTTGTTTTTGTTGGTTAGAATTTTGTAAAAAAATTTTATCGTTGTTGTAATTCGGTGGTCAATAATCGCATTTCTCACATTTATACAAAACCGAAAAGAAAATATAAAACTTATATATAATAATTTTTCACTTATTTTCTTATATGTTTCATTTGCATGTATACGCCGTTTCGTTAGATTTACTACAAAATTTTCAACCTACTCACACACAAAACTAATTAATTTAATATTGCTTTTAATACACTTATTAAGAAATTTCCTTATTGACAAATTGGAAAAAGGCAAATTTTCACTTCAATGTACACAATTTTTGCCTTAAAGTGCAAATTTTTCACTGCAAGAATTTTTACATTTTAATTGATTTTTGAGTTGTGCGCGATTTCTGAGCGTAGGAATGCGTCCGAATGGCAGTGCGGAGCTTTTTCTTATGCCTTCGGTACGTAAAATGGTTCCTATGCCACCATGCAAGCAAATACACGAGATATGAGAAAATATACCGAAACTGGAAAAAAAATAATCGAAAGAATTTTTACTGTTTGTTCTATTTTTTTTTTCACTTTTTCGCTCCACTCGTCCACTCGTTTCAAAAAGGAATTTTCGTTCTTAGATTCGAAACACGGCTTTCCGATAAAATACCGAAAATATTTATTTTTACTCACAACTCACAATTGAACGCACTTTACAGAGTGCAGAGTACACTCATTTCTTTTATGAGTTTCATGCTTGTGTGAAGGAGAAAAATCTATATATGAGCAATTCATATGCTGCTCCGTGCTTCAAGTTCTTCAGTATAATAAAATATCCTGTTTGCTCTGTGTGTAGTAATTGCATTGAGCGCACACAAGCGTGTGTTGGTATTTGAGTGCGAGGGGCGGCAATACACACACACACACACACACACACAGCAACAACACCAAAAACAACTGTGACAAACCACTTGAGTGTAAGAGTTTCGACTCAAAATATGTAGAGCAGCAGCGAACGCGAACACCCTTCGGCAAGTTATTGGGAAAACATTTCAGTTATCAAGAAAAAAAAGGAAAATAACAAAAAGCATGAAGAAATTTTTTTTTTCTGATTTAACAGTGCAGCACTTTTACATTTTACATTTAAATTCGCTTTTTTACGTCACGTTTTTAATTTTTTCTTTTAATTTCAGTTCATTTAAATTATAAAAAACACTCTATTTGTTTTTTAATTTTATTATAAATTTTATTTCAAGTTAAATACAAAATTTCACTTAAGCTTCCCAGTTTAGATTTCACATTGATGGGCTTCCGTAGTTGCACTACAGACGTGAGAAAGCGAAATGTCGTGTTACATTTAACCGTAACACTTTGAACTGTTTTTTCCTATTCTCCTTTGAGTCAACGGTATTTTGACATTTCTGAAGGGTTGCATTTTTACGTATTATACCTAAATATAACATATTTAGACCGTGCAATGAGGGAAATAGTAAATTATGTCGGTATGGCAGCGAGTGTTGATATTTACTAGAATTTCGAGAAGGGTAAATATGATAAAAATTAGATAAATTAGGTGTTACCATTGTGAAATTTTTAAAAGATGTTTAATAAATAAATTTGACACAAGGTAGCACCCATAAATAATAAAAAGTACCACAAAACAGCACACAAAATATAAAGTGGCACAAAGCAACACACAACACAAAAAATAAAAAGTGCCACAAAGCAGCACACCAACAAAAACTACCATTTTTTGACAGTAAAATGAACCATGTGAAATTAAACAGACAATAAAAAAATAATAAATATGAATTAAAATAAGTAATAATTATAATATTATAATGTAGTAAAATATAATCTAAGAAATATATTGTGCAAAATATAGTATACAATATAATATATAAATAAAATAAAAAGTAATATAAAATAAAATAAAAAATGAAAAAATAAGAAAAATAAAAAATAAAAACTAATAAATAGCCAAAATAAAACTGAAGTAAGGGATTGTAAATAAGTTAACATAAAGAATAAAAAATGAATAAGATTCATAATAGGAAAACCTGGGTACCGGTGGCACCTCGAGGTGTGATGAGGTCGAAGGCCTACGCACTCCATTGTTGTGCGCCCGACATCAATCAATAACTCAACATGAATGGCATACAAAACACTATTTATGATGCACGGTTCTTACTTGGGCACAATAGCAACTTCCATAACTGGGCGAACGAATTAAAAAATTTAGGCACTTTGTAAAGTAAAAGTGCTTCGAGTGAGATGCGAAAAACACGGCCAAACACTGTACCTATATGGGGGCGAATAAATCAATGTATTAACCATACAAAGACCTTCCGATCTTTTTATAGTTTATTCACACTGTTTCATAGAAGCACTTGCTCTTTTATATTAATAACTGAACTTCCTTATTATAATGAGCTCATTTATGCAATTGATAGAAACTTTTATAAACTTAACTTAATAATATATCATACAAACAAATTAAATATATAATTGATATATTAAATCATTTATATATTGGTATATATATTTATATATTCGGTAATTCTCAGTAATTGGGTAAACAAATTTCCCTATGGTTCCCATACATCAAGCATTTTTGTGCAACCTGCACTTTTTAACTGATTCTGAAGTGGTATGTTTGTACCACATCGGGACATTATAAGCTCAAATGGGCTTCAAATACTAAGTCGCCACCTTAACCTAGCCTAAACTGGTGTGTGATTGATGTTAAGTACCTCCGCTATCTACTAACAGCTTAACTGTTGGTCTTGTTCCTGTTTTCGCATATAAACAAATTCAATAATATTTTCCAATATTTTCTATTTTAACAATAAAACAATGATTTCTACTAAATGTAAAAGAAAAACGTGGAGTGGGCAAGCGTGTCTACCATGCACTTATTGCAGGCTACTAAATGTTTCAAAATAATTAAATTTTATATATTATCACATCACTCAACTAATCTCTTGTGTTTCATAACATATTCTGGGAGTGTGATTAAAGGGTAGATCGCCACTTGTCAATATAATACTTAACATAAAAGTTTAATGCAAAAAAAAAATGTTCTAGTTCATGTCCATGGTTAGCTAGCTGCGCCAAAATCATATGATATGTAGAAAGTTGTTTCCTTTAAAAGCATACATAACAAAATTTTATAAAAGTTTATGCAAAACTAAAATACGACGAAAATGAATCAAACAATATTTTATTAAAATAAATATACAAAGCAGTTTCAAGTAATTATAAATATATACTATAATATTTGCAAAGTATGTGAGAATTATAAATTATATTTATAACTTTTCAAATCTTCTCATATTTTAAATTATTCAGATGCTTTTTGTTCAAACTGTTAAACACAAATCAAATAACTATACAAATGTACTAGCTTTTGATTTATTTATTCTGTATATTATTTATAATTTTATAAATACCTGAAGCCACTAAGACCTAATAAGACATAAACATAATGTTAAGAAGATAAAACTAATAAAAAGAAAAACATTATTATAAAAAAGCTATTAATTTTTTTCACCTACCACGAAAAAAGCGTAGAGATTAATATTTCTTAAATTTTTATAAATAATTAACACAAATGTGCCATGTAAAAGCAACTTTCACAGTACTAACTTATTCTCAATATTAACTTAAGTCTTACTTAAGTCATGGACTTTGCTAACTTAATTTATACTTCAGTCAGCTTTGAAACTTAAGTCACAGCTTTGAAATCGACACCTAGAGAACTACTGTAGATCTGGTAATTCGTTAAATTGTTGATAATGTTTTAATGACAAAAATTTACAACTTTTAAGGTCGATATCTTAAGAATCAAGCTCAACCTACATCAATATATTGCGCAGTAAATAAGAATTGCTCAAAATAATTAATAATTTAACAAAAAAAAAACTAATTTATTAAGTTATATATTTAAATTTCTTTTTAACATTGTGAATTAAAGATTAATATTAACATTTAAATAAATTTAATATGCACTTAAAGTTAACACTTTAACATTAGATAGTTATTATGCTTTGTACAGTACAAAAGATTTAACAAGCCTATTACAATAATAAATATTGCATACTTTTCAGGTTGCATGAAAATATTTTTTAAATATGTATTTGAAAAAATTAATAAAATAAATAATTAATTATATAATATTACATAATATTATGTTATTATTATGAAGCTATTTGAGCCAATGGTTTATAAGTAATGAATAGTTAAATTTATAAATGAAAATAATTTTCAATTGAACGATTTAACTCTGATCTTATACAAAAAATATTTTATTATTAATACATATTTTAAATTTGTTGTTAATTTTCATTAAGTAGTTAAATAGTTTTATAATTAAAATATATATATTTATATTAAAAATTTTAATATTAAATGTTATTAATTAATTATTATTATTAATATTAATTAAAAAAAAAAACTTATTTTTTACTTAGACAGTACAAATTTATTTACAAACGAATTATAAAAATTTCAGAGATACTGTTTTCACTAAAACTGTGTACAGTACAGTGAAATACTAAATACCCCAAGCGGTCAGTAGTTGAAGCATAAACATGAACAAAAGTTTAGGAATAATACAATAAAAAAGGAAATAAATGCGTAATGTATTTAAATAAAATTTATTTTTTAACAACAACCACAAAATTCAGTAATAACAATAACTCTTGTGAATTTAATAAATCATAATCACAAGTTTGCATAAAATTTCCTCATAAGTGCATTTAACAGCAAGATATGTGTCTGCCAAATTTTTGTCCGTACTGTGAACGGTCAGATGTCAAATTCTATTAAGAAAACAGCTGTTCTCAGATTTACTTGGAATAAGTAGGAATTTAGGATTCTTATTATATTAGTAAATAAACACTTTCCAATGAAATAATTACTTTTAATTTTTTAAATGTGTTTTTGTATTGTTGAATGTTTATAAAAAAATTAGTGTTAGCTTTAAGTCATTTTTGTTTAAATGCGCAAGTCGCATGACTGTTTGTGCTGCAATTCGTTAGTTCTTCTGGTTGCCTTGGAAACAAAAAATAATAACAAACAACAAGTTACGTTTTTCACTTCACTTCCGGTTCATTTAAATTTTTGTAAGTAAAAATTATTTTTTATATTATAATTTGTGATAAATAATAATAAACTATTTTTCAGATTGTTTAACTAATGTAAGAGAACAACATAAATGACCAAAGATAGACCTAGTGTTTGGACCAAATAGCTCGGAGCATTAACGCCTTATAACATTTGCCTTATTGTAACGTTCAAAAGAAATTTAAAGAAAATAATGAAACGCATTTAAAAATAAAAAACATTAAATCGCAGTAAATAATTTGGTGAGTTTGTTTAAATAGTTTTTGTGTTTATTTAATTCAGTGTAAATTGCTGACATATGGAAGTTTTTATTTTATATACGAAGGTTTTTTAGACTAAATTATTTAATGAGTTTCAAAAAATAGGTCAATAGGTTATGAAATCCTTCAGTTATATATTTCTCTTTAATACACAAATTATTTAATTATCATAAAAATTATTAAAACAATATGTGAAATCGATTCGTTAATATAAAATGTAAAATATATCTGCAAACATTGTAATTGATGTCCGATCAAAAAACTTAAAAATATAATGGTTCGAAAGCAGTGGAGAGGTTCTATATATATTAATTAATTCATAATTATATTACTTTAATTAATTGAATTTGAAACTACGCATCGCATTCCATCCCACAAGTTACCAATTGCATCCTACAGTAAACGATTTTTATAGCATAAAATCAAATAGACACGACTACAGTTTTCTAGATCACAAATTGGATCACAAATTTCGGTAAAATCGAACATTTAAAAAAACTTTTTCCACTATGTTATATCATACGTTGTTGTTTATCGCTTCAAACTAGAATTCAAATATTTAACTCAAACTTTAACATAAACATTAAGTCCACTCTCCTATATGGATGTCAATCATGGAACGCTGCGTCATGTGACATCAACAAATATCTACAAAATTTCTACAAATCTCTATTAACCACTTCTTAAGGAAAATCGTGAAGGTGTTCTGGCCCAAACACGCTATCGAATGAAAATTCATTATCCAACACTAATCAAACACCAATCAAGATTGAGATAATAAAGAGCAAGTTGTACTGGTTAGGCCACACTCTGCGCAGATCAAACAGTGACGCCACAAGAATGGCGACCGAGTGGAACACCATAGATAGCCGAAACAGAGGTAGACCGGAGCACAGTTGAAGAAAACAAATGGATACAGAAATGTCACGTATGCAGAAAAGTTGGAGAGAATTGAAGCTATTAGCTGATAACCGTTCTGAATGGAAATATTTTGTTGCAGCCCTTTGTTCCTCTTAGGATTTAAAGGAATTTATATATATATATACGTTGTTGTTGTGATCCGTGGGGATCTAATACCAGATAACATAAAACGGAGATTTTACAAGACGAATACACGGGTAAGAAAGTAGATGGGTGATGATAGAAGGTGGAGGGTCGAGAATGAGAAAGAAAATGTGGATTATGGATGGGTGTGATATAAATTGAAATCAACCCGGGTCCAAATGGAAGAACCTTGCCACTTCGAGGAAGTGGATCCAAAGGTCGATTGGATAGAGGTTTGTGTGTGTGCAATAGTCTCACAAACGTCGAAGTCTAAGTCCTGGTTTTAATAACCAAGTGCCGTACAACATCCCCCAAAGGGATTACATAAAGCTATATGTTGTTGTCATTGATTCTCGAAATATCAAGGCTTATCAAGCTATTAGCTCGATTAGTTGCTAAGCCTCGTTTGAAAAGTAAATGTAAAATTTTAATATACTAGTTGACGCTAAAGGATATGACTATTTTTCTTACTATTGCGAAAAAATTGCAACTTTAAAATCTGATATTAGAAAAATTAAGTTATATCGGCGTGTGTGTGTATAACATAGGAAGAAAAACTGAAAAACTAAGTTATGTCAGCGTATAATATAGTAGAAAATGTCACTCATAGTAGGCGATCTTATAAAAATCCATCAATATATCCCAATGTCTAGGACACAGTTGTTCGGTTTTGTTTTATTTGAAACCCAGAACCTCGTTATTTTTATAGATATCATTAAGGTCTTGATATGTTTAATATACATACCTAAAGGAACGTTTACTAATAGAAATACAAAAAGAACATTATCCATAAAGTACTTTAATAAGACATAAGATATGTCCCTTTAAGAACTAATTTATTTAAAAAAAGATATGTTCTATAATAGAATAAATAAAGTAGAATAAAAGTATATAAAAAAATACAATAAATTGGCCCCTATAAATAAAATAAAAGCTAATTAAAAAATAGAGATAGTCCCAATTTATCAGATGCCGATATTTATATATGTCACTTCGACGTAGACCCAATCACTTTTTACATTGTATATTATATATTCTATAATTAATGACTCGGAAAAGATTCAACTATGTTATAGTAGGTATTTGTAAATGTTGTCGTTCTACTATCCTTACAAAAGATGAAACACCAACTTTTATGAGTTCCTCCCCATATCCAAGTATCTCCGGGTTATAGACCCGATAACTCTTGCAATCTTATATGTTTACAGTTCATTACTGAATGCGGGAGTATGACCTTCTTAGAGAGACAGTATCCATACACTAGATGTTTGGAAGTTCTATCTTAAAAATTATGCTTTAGGGGTGACATATTATCCGTACTATCACAACAGACCATTATTTATGCTTAAGTAACCTATGATCAATGACACAAAAAAGTTGCCATCATCTTTTTGTCCCCCGTATCGTTCCAACCTTGTCCGAAAATGGAACTTAACAACGAGCATTGGTCACTCTTATAATCTTATGGCTTTTTGATCCATTTTTTTTTTTTCGTTTTAATATTAGTATCAGTATTTGATAATACTGATGTTTTCAGAAAAACCTACGGCTATCTTAATTTTTCTGATAGTAGATGCCTGGCACAGACATTTATAATGTAGATTTCGGTTTGAAATACTGAAACCATTGTAATTAGATTGACTGATATTTAATTCTCGGGGTTGTAGTTGTAGTGTTGGATCCATCTGTATACCAGACAATATATTTGATAGTGGTACTGAATTTTTAATTTTCTTATCCCATTCAGTCTGATATAATCGTAATGTATTTCTTGTTGCTTGTGTGTTTTGGGATCGTGTGATCTAAAAACATCGCAAAACCTCTAGATTGTTTTAATTTGGCCAACATGGATAGGTCTCCATTACTCTACAATCGTATTCTGCTCAGTAGACCGTTGTAATAAAGTCTATATATGCTAATGAATGCAACCATCTGCACTCTAAGACTTAGCGGCAGTATTCCTAATGAGGTATTCTGTTTCGTATTTCTTAGTTTATATTAAGGGTACTCATCTGAACTGATAAATGTCTTATAAACCTATAAACGCATAAAATTATACATTTGTTAAATTCATATGCCTAGATGACTAGATAATAGAGGATCTAGTCAAAATACTATGTAGATTTTTGAGAACTAAGCATGACATTAAGAAGAACTTCATCCTTATTTCTTTTAAAGTAATAAATTCTCATAAGCAAAGAGAGTAATTATTTAGTTTATTACGATTAATCGAAAACTACTGAACGGTCCACCTTAGTTAATTATTTCAGCTATTAAAAATCAAATAAAATGTGATGGAATAATTGCTACTTATTCCAGTCAATGAACTGAATTTTATTACAGAGGAACACATCAACAAATTGCCGATAATCGGGTTGACAACAATGGGTGTACGTTCTTATAAATATGTACGTCTAATATGAACAGTACTGGCACACGAGATATGAACAAGCATAAGCACTTGATTGCCTCATGTATCTATTTTGACATTTTTGACGCAAACTTGTCTTATGGACGTATGGATGAAGAGCAATTCATGGAATTTCATATAAAAATTTTGGAATAAAAATTTTTTTCGATTATTAGTACGCGAAGGTGAAAACCGTTTTCCTATTTGAAGAAGAAAATCAGTGAAGCGCAAAGTGACAAGGGGCACAAGCATAAAAAGACATGCAGCAAACTCAATGAACGCGATATGTTTACACCTGGCGTGACACCAGCACTAGCACCAGCACCGACGACTGTGACGTTGACTATCCGAACGACAACCAACAGCAATGTTAGCAACAGCAGCCGCCGCCACCGCCGCATCGATGATGGTGGTTGGGCACACTCCAAACCCTACACAGAAAAAAATTTTATTTACAAATGACGTAGCACATGTTGCCATTCTGAGGGGTGAAATCAGCTTAGTGTTGTTGTTATTGTTATTGTTATTGTTGTTGTAGTTGTTGTTGAGTTGTTAATATAAAAAAAAATTACTAATAAAATAAACAAGTTGATAAAAAGGTACATAAATATTGGAATATGCATGATAATTTCATACTTTAGCACACCGCGCCTTTCCTCTTCTAATTTAGTTTAATTTTTGCTCAGTTGAACAGTTCTGAGGCAACTTGGGAATCCGGGGAGTCCCAACTTTTCGCTTTTAGTTTATTTTTCACAAATGCGATTTATATGAAAAAAAAAACTTATAATCGTGTAAATGTTAAAAAAGTTAAAAGTTTTTAGCTGAAATAATTTTATTTCAAAAATAAAAATAAAGAAATCCAAATAAATCTGTAATTTAAAATATTTGATTGCTGCTCTGGCGGATGAAATAAATTTGAAGAAAAGTTTTTCTGTTTGATCATCTCGCTAATTCCCTGGCCTTTGTGTGTAACTTATTAAAAACTTTTAATTGCTTTTCAGAAAAGTTTTATTACTAAATACCAAAAATATTTTTTTTAATTTTATAATGTATTAATTGCTTTATAACTGAGGCAAGATATTTTCATCAATTACAGTTAATTACTTAAACAATATGTATATGCAGTATTATGTACAAGCAAAGAATTTATTAGAATTTTTAAAAACCTTTCGAACAGTAGAGAACTACAACAACAAAAATTTTTATAATAGTCATTAATGCACATTTTAGCTGACCATGCAACTGTTTCGTATATTACCAAATACCTATCATCAGTGGTCTTGGAATCATTTCTTATATTTAATTGTACGTAAATAATTTTTTGAGACTATAAGTATCCAGGGTTGAACTATTGGTACTTGAATTCTTCTTCGAATTTTTATGTATATTGAACAACAGAGATTATTACACTATAACTTTTATTTTTAAGAATCATTTATTTTAAAGAAATATTTTGAGTTACTTAAATAACCAGTTAAAAATTGCACAAAGCCAGGCTCTGAGAAGAATTTTCAAAGTTCCTTGGTAC